TTTCCCCAGGGAACATTCTTTCCCTCTCCTGTCAGATGGCTGTGAGGACCTATGATGCAATGACAATGCCACCTCTAGAAATGCATGTGCCACAAAAGCAGAGATTAATGACGGAGGTGATGGTAAGTGTCTCTCCAAGGTTCACATAACGAAGGTCCCGCCTTTGGGAATTGAAGGTCTTAAGAAATCTGAGTTCACCAAGCAGGAATTTCAAAGACAGACACACACCATGATTTTGCATGAGTGGGTTTTCTTCCTTGATGTGGGGGTTTCTCAGGTGAGAAACCTCTGCTACTATACCTGGGGATGACACTGTCTCCTCTCTGCCTAGAGCGGCTACATAGGAAATCAAGGAGATGTAGTACTTATAATGTGACTGGAGAATGCCAGATAACTGGACAGATGATGACTTAACCTGATTCACATACATTTCCTGAGTATAATTTCTCCATCACCTTGTTTTTATTCCCAACTTCCCTTCTCTTGTGCATATTCATTTGATGGGGAAGTGAATTGCTATTTATTAAGGATTTGCCATAGATACATGAAAATGCATTCAGATCTTGATCTAACACATGTAATTTAGTCTCATAAAAAGGTCTAAACAAGGTCTATGGAGTGAATGTGTTCTCCAAACGTGGGCTGGTAACTTGATGTACCATGTGAAGGGGTGAATAGTGGGTGCACAGTAGCAGGTGTTTTGGCTCCTGAAGGCTCCACCCTAATGAATGGATTAGGGCTGATTATAAAAAAGCTGGAAGTAGTGTGCCATAGCTCAAGTGGTAGAGCACTCACCTTGAGCTGAAGAACTCAAGGACAGCACCCAGGCCCAGAGTTCAAGACCCACAACCGAGAAAGAGAAAGAGAGAGAGAGAGAGAGAGAGAGAGAGAGAGAGAGAGAGCACTGGAGGCTAGACATTTTACCTCTTGCTCTCAGCCTCTCAATGTCCTCTTGCCATGGCCTGAAGTAGCATGGGCCATTGGCACAGGGCTGCCTCTTGATCCTGAACTTGCCAATCTCCTGAACTGTGAACCTATGAAATTCTGTCCATTATAAATTCCCCTGCCAAAAGCATTCTGTTAAAGTAGTTCAAAGCAGATTAAGCAATAACTGCCTAATTCCCAACAGTAGGAATTAGCTGATCCCTTTGCCTCCAACTGAAGTCAACAAAAATGAATAAAATATGGTACCAGGCAGAAGACATGCACTATCTACTTGGGAAGCAGATAGTTACAGCATATAATCACAATAAAATGGGGGTAAATGGAGCCCTAGAGGCTCATGAGAGGTAGCTCTGAGGTGGTAAGAAGGGAGTAGCTTACTCCTACAATGAGCTGCTCATTCAACTCTTCAGAACAGAAGTCATGGAGTGGAGATGAGCCTGAAGAAGCGAATGAGTGCCTGGCAGCATGAAGACTGGGGAAAGAAAGGCAGAACCATGGAGGACAGGTTGCCCAGGAGACCTGAGTGGGAGGAGACAGGCTATCTTCTGGAGTTTCAGGCATGCAAGTATGAGGGAGCCTCCCTGGGTTGCAGTGGCAGGTGGGGACCAGGCTGGGAGGCCTGAAATTGTCCTGGTTGTGGAAGGTTGGACCTGCTTTAACAGTACTTCCTGGTTCCTCTAACCTCCCCTCCAGGCTCAAGCTGTAATTCCATGTTGTCATTGCAGTTTCTATCTTCACTCTTTACCTCTGCCCTGGCCTTGATCCTAGTGAGAAAAAGAAGAGAAAGGGGAAAAAGAGAGAAAAGCCCTGTTTCATGGTGACACCCCAAAGGGCTGTGATGAATGCCACAGATCTCACTGTCAGTAACTGTGGTCCTTTGGGCCAATGAACCATCCTCAGCTAGGAAACAAATGAACCGAAGGGTGCTACTCAGTAGCTTATTAGGTGCAGGCGGCCTATTAAGTAGCTTATTAAATATTAAAGTTATTAAGTATTAGCTTTATTCAGTGGCCTATTAAATAGCTTATTAACTAAGATCCTTGGCAGCAGTATGTAATGAATACAAGTGACCGTGATTATAATATAAAGAGTTGATTAAATTTCCCATTGAGTACTCTTAGTGGACCAGGAGCTGCATTACACTTGCTGTGTACATTGTCTCTCATCCTGATAATATGCTGTCAGCATCTCCTTAGCAGAGACTAGGGAGCTGAGGCTTGATTTTGGAGACATGTTAGGGTACAGCACTCCGCCTAACAAAGGCTGACTGGGCCACACACTCAGGACAGAGCACAGGGGCCATGTGCTGGGTTGGGAGGGGCATCTGCCAGGAGAGAGGACTAGGGAAACCAGAGGAAGCTTAGACATAAATGCCAATGACAAAATTCATTGACTGAAGCGAAGCCGAGTTCCAGGGAATATAAAACAATGTGTGCTTTATGAAGTGTCAAAACAGAAACAGAACAAGATGTTCTTCAGACTTTCATATAGATGACATTATATATCATGTATATCTTATTAATGATATTATATATCATATATAGAATACAGTTAATTTAAAAGTAAGGCAGTAAATATGCACTAAATTCAGGATGAGGCCCCTCTCCAGGAGTAGAGAAAGGGCAGGGGACTAGATAAGAAAGGAACACATTAATTACATATATGAGTAAGTATATGTAATCATTACAAATTAATCACACATATAACTAATTGACATATAAATTGATATGTAAATTATTGTTTACATCATGTAAATATAAACTGTACATTTGCTTGCCCTTGGACTGGATAATGGTTCACCAGGGATTCATTATATGATGGTAAAATATGTTAGAAAAGAACACACACACACACAACCTCAGCAATAGTGTGCATTTGTCTACAATTGTGAAAACAGTAAAACAGCCAATTTTGAGGAATCGTCAGAGAAGGAGAAGGACGAAGGAGGAAGAGGAGGAGGAGAAGGAGGAGGAGGAAGAGGAGGAGGAGGAAGAGGAAGGGGGGAGGAAATTGTAATAAGAAAGAAAACATTGTAAATATAGTTGAAATTGTCTGCCTGCCTCCCTGATTCCGCTGACCTGTTTTGTCCCCAAAGCGCACCATGTTGGTGCTAAGGTAAACATCAAGTGTTTAGTATGAATCTCAGTTCAAGCTTCAGAGAGCTTAGAAAGATGTGATCAGCTTTGGGGTTCAAAGATGGAAGGAGTCTGGTGAGCTGAGCTGTAACTGAGGATATTCCATTTGGCACTTATCGCTGGTGACCCCGCAAGGCTTCAGAGGAGCACTCCACCTGCAGTTCCCATGGGCCCAGCAAGTGCAACACCCTGAACATTTGTCTGCCAGCTAAATCTGCTCTTTTCCTGACTTCCCTCATTAGTGGAAGAATTTCTCCAACTTCTTCAGCAGGAGAAAATTTGTAAGCTCCCTTTGCCATACCTCATCCTAAATTCCTCTTTTATTGCTTACCAAGATCCATCAGTTCTATGCCTCAAAAACCTCTTCTCCATTCCCATTGTTGCTATCCTCTGCTTCTTTCAGTAGTTTTCTAGCCTTTCTCTTGGCCTCCAGCCTCTTACTACTACAGTTCCTCCCTTCCTGGCTACAAGCATTGTCAGTCCTTCTCCATCCATTAGCTGCTTGCCTCCTCTCTGCTGAAGGGAGGACACTAGGAACCTTCTGCCCTAGCAGGAAGGAGTAACATCACCACACTTTTTAGAATGGTGCTAATAATTGCTTTGGTTTATCATTGCATTTGAATTCTCTATGAACAATGAACCCCCTTTTGCCTACACCTAGCCAGTATGACACCCATTCTCCTACATGACGGAGATGATATAGTTGCTATAAAGTTTAGACAGAACAGTATGCAGAGATCCCAGTCCAGCCATCTGCACATGGTGAGCATTTTGCTAACACGATGACTATCTTAATTATACTGTATTGGTTTCTAACCCCTTGTTTGGACCTTATCTGGCTTTGTAGGCATGCCAGTGTGTTTATTCTGCCTCAGACACCCCAAGGTCTTCCACATCCCCAGGCCTTTGCAAGGTCCTTGCCTTGGCCTGGCTTTCTTTCCTCTCAGTGAGTCCATCACTGAAGAGTCAGTTCACAGCCGTGCTTTCTGTCCATCTTCCTCAGTCTTCCAGGAAGATTTCCTGACTTACTGTTCTTGCTTCCTCTCTAAAGCCTCTGGAAGGGAGATTTCAAATACTACTCACTTTTGGATTCAATCACCCGTTCTTACAGTAATAGCAGGAGTTAGGCCTGGAGTTTGAACTCAGGACCTGATGCTGCCACACTTTCAGCCCTCTTTCACTGTTGTATTGTTTCAGCTTTGGTGTTTGTTTTTTGAATAGCATCTCCTTCTTTCCCCAGGCATGTACCGGGACCAGGATCCTCCTCTTTCAAGCAGGCCACCACATCCACACACCCAGCTTCACCCATGCTGATCTCTCCCAGACTTTTCTGCCAAGTTGGCCTGCAACTGTGATCCTCCCATTCGAGGCCTCCCTCCCAAGTATCAGGGACTACAGAGGTGGGCAACTAGGAACTCAGTTTCCTTTGTTTAATGGGAATGAAGGGGAATAGTCAGTTTAGCTAGTAATATTTTAGGTTATTTTATAACCTGGTATTAAACCTTTCTTTCCAGGCCCCACGGGGGGAGGGGGCCTATATTATCCAATTCTACCATACCTGTGTTCCTAGGGAATGGATCTCAACAGCTAAAGAACAGGAAATGCCACTGTGGGGAAAGGATGAGTGGGTCAACGGTGTCTTCTCAGCCATGGCAGAGAGGGCGCTGTTCTTAAAGCAAATCCCCAGGGGCGGGGACTGAAATGCCAGAGCTTTCCCACAGGACGTGGCCAGCGTCCCTTCCCAGGCCGCCCAGTGGCGCCAGCAGAGCACCTGCCCATAAACATGGCGGCGCCCTGCTCGGCTTCGCGCTGTCGGGACCGCGGGGCCGGCCAGGCCTTGCCAGTACTCGGGGACTTCCGGCCCGCGCCGGCTTCCTGCACGGCTGGCATTTAAACGTGCGCCTGGGGCTGCTGGTTGCATCGGTCGGTGCGGAGCCGTGCACTGGGGCAAGCGCGGAGCCTGAGCATCCTTTAGCCGCACCCTGTGGGGGGGAGATCGGGGACCCCCCACCCAACCCTCGCTCCCGACCTGGTATCTGGGCAGTTTCGTTGCAGGTTCAGCGTTGATTTCTAAGGTGGCAGCCTTTCTCCTGCAGTCCCGATCCCCTTCCTCGCGCGCGCGGCCCGGCTGCCGGATGAAGCCGGGGCTGGGCTGGGTCCAGCCGCAGGGACGGCGCGCGCCCGGGCCATGGTGCGGCTGAGCCCCGCGCTCGGGTGAGACGGGAGCCCCGGCGGGCGTCTTCCCCAGGAGCCGCGATGTTCAGCTGGCTGGGTAGCGACGATCGCCGGAGGAAGGACCCCGAGGTCTTCCAGACGGTCAGCGAGGGGCTGAAGAAACTCTACAAGAGCAAGCTGCTGCCCCTGGAAGAGCATTACCGCTTCCACGAGTTCCACTCGCCGGCCCTGGAGGATGCCGATTTCGACAACAAGCCCATGGTCCTGCTGGTGGGCCAGTACTCCACCGGGAAGACCACCTTCATCAGGTGAGCCCTCCCCGCCGCGGTGCGCACCCTGCCGGGGACCGAGGACAAGCCTGAAGCCCGCAGTTCGGGGCTCTGAAGAAATCCATTGGTGTGGCCTCTAAAGATGACCACCCCCCACCCCGTCCCCAGCATCATTCCCAGTCCCCTCCCGGTTCTCCACGGAGATGCGTAGTCCTAGGCTCGGGTGGGCAGTTTGAAACGTTCAAGTTCACAATCAGCTCAGTTCTCCCATTTTCTGGATGATGGAACCGACTCCCAGAAGGCACAAAGTGGGAAGGCTTAGGGTCTCTGGCACACCTTCTGCGGGTGGGAATGTCTTAACCACCGCACATCTCAGGGCCCTGACGCGCAGAGCTGGGACCACTTCCCTTTACTTCTAATAGCGCTCAGCACTTACACGTCGGGGCGGGGAGTGGGGGCTTATGGTTGCAGGTGAGTTGTTGGATGACTTTAAGCCTGGAAATGGTAATGTGCTAGGGACTTTGGTCTCTCTGGTCATTTAGTCCTTCCTTTGTCATTTTCCTTCTCTGTGGCAGAGCTCTTAAGGGTGTCTCCTGTAGACTTGGCAGATGAAGAGTCCAGAAACAAAATCCTTGTGATCTTTTTTATCTTCTTTCATCCATAATGGTTCAACAGTACTATCAAAAGACTTAGATATGGAAGGAATATTGGCATTGCCTCCTCCAGACTTTCCAGATGAGATAACTGGAGGCTGGAGAGAAGTTAAATAAGTGATCCAAAGCCTTATACTGGGAGGCCACAGAACTGGGATTGATGTACTGGATGCATGTGAGGAGGTGGTTGGCTATATGCCCGTAACTTTGAGGGTGAGTCAGCCATTCCCTTGAATGACAGAAACCTCGGGCTGGAAAGATCCTCAGGAAGTCAGCCTGCCCAGTCTGCATTCAGACAAGTCCACTAGAATGAAAGCCTTCTTCCTATTTTCAATGAACAGCTCCTTCTCCAGTCCTCAGTGCACACAGCTTGTTAAGGGCAGACATCTAACCCTGGCCTCATTTAGAGGCTTTCCTCATTGTTGAGGGTGCCTGTGACCCCTGCCCCCTCCTGCCCCTCATCACTCCTGTAGTCTGGGAATGGAGATCAGTGCCCACATAGGGTTTCAAAAGGGTTTCAAAGCAGGGGTCCTTTACTTCCCTTGACTGGCTGTTGGAGCATCTGCAACCTGCAGAGCCATGTTTGGTGAGGAGAGCAGAAAAGTTAAGAGTCTGGTTACTCATTTTCTAGGTACTAATTTTCTCTGATGCTAAGCTTGGAACGCAAGCCTCTAGAAGCAGGATGTGTGCCATGCTAACCTGTCATGTCTGGACACAGCTCCAGGTCAAGTTTGTCTTTGTGGAGTGGATAGCCTTGGGCTCAGAGGCTTTGAGAGATCGAATGATTTCTAAAGTTTGTATGATGGCTTGTGGACTCATGTGTGTTTTATATTATGGGATCTAATCATTTGCTTTTTAACTTTTTTAAAGTTTAGCACCTCCTTTGAAAAATCTAATACCAACGGACCAATCTTTAGAAAAATGCACATACAGTTCAAGTTTACATATTGTGCTGGTGATCCAACTCAGACTTTAGAGGACAAATCCAATCCTAGTATCTCGTTGCTGCCAAAGGCACTTTAGCACTACCTGGATTCACTACATGGTTTCCTTTGTGATGGCTGTCCTTCCCCAGCCAAGTTTATGGCCCACAGGAAACATGGGCCATTTGCAGATTATTCCTGCCCTGCACAGCCTTCCTTGGCTCTCTGGACATACTTGGATATAATCATAGGGCTTTACATTTTTGGAGCATCTGCTTTCCAGGGCATGAGCACTTATAAGCCAGCAGCTGTGCTAGTCTCAGCTACCAGAGGTTCCCAATGGATACCTGGCAGAATGGGAAGCAAGATGAGGAAAAGTGAATGACCTCAAGGGCAGAATCCTCTGGCAGCAGATAGGTTTAAAAGCCTTTGGTCTGAGACACCCTGTAGGCTTTGCCTGAGTCATCACTGACTGATACTGAGTCTAAGAAAGTGTCAGACAGAGGCCCCTTAGGTTATTCCTTATCTGAAGGAGACAGAAGGCCAGGAGAGGCCAAACCCTGTGCTTACTTACCCTACTAGTCCAGAGTTCCCTCTCCCTACTCATGCCAGTAACTGAATTTAGCTCCTGCAATTTCCCTTACTCAGAGAGTCAGCTAGCAGGGTAAGAGGGATTGTAGCACAGGAACCTTCCAAACCACATTTTCCCCCCTTATCATTGAAGGCAGCTACATTTCTTTTTCTTTCTTCCTTTCTTTCTTTTCTTTCGTTCTTTTCCTTTTTGGATTGGAAAGCATAGAAGAGAATAAATTTGAAGAAGAAACAATTGTTCAAAATCCTATCATTCAGGAGAAAACATTTGAGGTATTATATGTATTTAACTTTCTAGTCTTTTAGCTGTTTCATACTTCACTGAGATCATGCCAATTGTGTGATTATGTATACTAGACTTAGTTTTTACTTAAGCATTTCCCATGTAATCTATCATTTTTATCCACTATGTAATACTTCTCCCAGTGTAGATGCAATTATCCACTTAACTAGCTACTTCCTTTGAGTATTTCATGTTTGTTTCTAATTGGTCTGTCATGAGAGAACCACCTTGAACATCTCCGCCCACAGCATTTGCCCCACAAAATGGACTGCTTTTTCCCCTAGAAGGGAAATTACTAGACCAAATGTTGTCCAGCATTTTTGTTTTTAATTATTTTTTGTTTTTTTTTTACTGTTTGAATTAAGAGCCATATTTCTCAATTGCTTTCCAACAGGTTAAATGAGCATAACATCTCTTCCCCAGAGTGAATAAAATGTTTCATGCTTGGCTTTCGGCATCCCCCACTCCCCTCTATGCTTTTTTGCCTGATTCTCATCTCCCATCCCATGCCTGAATCTGTAAGGGACCCTTCCCTCAGAAACAAAGACTTGCCTCTTGGTTCCTCTCCCCCCTCCCCCCAGTTCTTGGCTTTTTGCCTCCTTAAGAAACCATCACTTTCAGTTCTGCGTGCTTGCCACAGGGTCCATTTCTTGTCTCAGGAAGAATACACAGAAAAGACATTCTTCTAATAACTAATTAATGTGCTATGATCTCTGCCTGAAATAACTTCCCTGGCCTAAGGCCCGGCCCCTAGAGTAATAAAATAAACAATAAATTGGCCTGGCCATTGCTTCCTCCAACACAAGCTGCCTCTTTGTAATACAGTAGCTCTGTGTCCCTTTTGCCCTGGCAGCCTGTCCTCTTGCCTCTGCTATTTTCCTCCTTTCCCTTTTCCTCTGGCTGGCATGGAGACGTGGATCCCCCCCTCCTATGCGTCTGCTGTCATCTCTTCTAGCTGCCCCCTCTTCTGTGGTTCCTCTTTCTGTAGGTGGTAGAGGTGAAGAGCCAGCATCTCCAGGAGCTGAGGAAGGCCCAAGTGTTCCTTTGTCCTTCCTCACCCCACCTGGGCTGAAATGTAGGCTCTTGGAGTTGAGGAGGGACCTGGAACTACAAGGCTAAGCTGCCTGAGCCCCAACAGGGAGGGCTAAGCTGTGCTGGAGGCTGATATGGCACTTCTGCAATATGGGCCAGGCTCTGAACTCGGATGTGGTGGGGAGGGTTCTACTGTGAGATGGACTCAGCTGGCTATCTCAGCCTCCCACAGTTCTTCAGGGTTGCTGCATAGTACCCGGAGGTGAAAAACTCAGCAATTGCTTGTGGCTACTCTATCTTTCATCATTCTTGTGGTATCCCTACCTGGGCCTCACTCCAGGCTTTACAGCCTCACCACTCCGTGAAAAGGTGGTTATCTGAGAAGCCGAAAGGACCCCATCCCCAGGACATCCACTGACGTCTACAGAGTCCAATCCATTGGCAGCAGATCCCGCATCATTTTAGTCCCTTGTTACCCTCTGTGATCAGTGACTATCCTTTTCTTGTCAGGGTCAGATCTGCTGGTCTCAAAGCAAGAATAGATGAAAATCCATCTGCTTCTTCTATGATCTGACCATTTACTCAAGAGCTGCTTTGAAAGTCAGGTGTATAGAATGCATCAGAAACAGCCTGGACTGGAGGAGATAAATCGCAGGAGAAAGGCCTACTTCCTGCTCCCATTGGTCATGGGACAAAGGCTCTACACCAGGCTGGATCAACAGAACCCAGGCTCCATAATTTCATAGTCAAGAGACCAAGTTAGGAAGGCTAACCTAGGTCTACTGACCCTCAGTTTCCTTATGTATATCCTGTGAAGAATGATAGCCACCTCTTAGGGTTTCTATAAGAATTAGGAAGAGGACAGAACAAATTTAGCACTCATATTCCAGGCACCATGTTTGGGGTATATCCATTCACTTTCGTCTTTCTAGCTTGATTCTCCAACGTAAGACTTAGAGGCTGGCCTCCAGAAGGAGAAAGGCAACTGCTCTTTGGCCCTGTCACAGTTAAGATAAAGTTAAGATGACTCTCTACCCAGCCAAGGGCTGGAGGAAAAGCATGATGCACAGAGGCAGTGTAGTACTCTGGGCAGGATGTTCTGTCTCAGGTGAGGCCAACAAGGGGAGACTAGCAGGAGACTGGGCAGTCTAAGTACTAAGGTCTCCCTCATGCTGGAATCACTTCTTTCTATCCATTGCTGAGGATACTGTGTGCCAGGAACAGTAGTGGATTTCCTCAGAAACGTAAAGACAACTAATCTCAACTCAACCATCAAATGTCTTTTTGTGTCTGTAGATTCAGTACGCATGGGGCTAATGGGGAAAATATCATCCAGAGCCCATTTTAAAACTGAAGTACTTGTGCCTTAGTGACCCAAAGATACAGAAGTATCACACAAAGACCTGTTATATAGGCAGACAGTGAGCTCAACTTTCAGAGGACGCCTAAATGATATGTCAAGTCAGAGCTGTGAGATTTTTAGAGAAGAGAGTGAGTACATCTGAATTGGGGGTGAGGTGGGAAAAGAATCATTAACACTCCTTGAGGGGGTATGTT